GGGGAGCCCGATGCGGGACTCGATCCCGGGACTCCAGGATCATGACCTGAGCCAAAGGCAGTCACTTAACCAACTGAGCCACTCAGGCGCCCTGCTTGGAGCTTTTACAGGAATTTGGAAAGGCGGAAAAGTAAGCTAAGGGCCTGCGTAGTAGCCCATCCACCTACGTAGTAGTAGGTGCAGGGTACCACAAGGTAGTTTCTCAAATATTTATTAAGTAGTATGTATCTCCTTAGTGGTTTTCTTTAGCATGAATATCAGGAGTTCCTTATACTTTTCCCCATTATTTCCATGAAAACCAAAACAATTCTACCAATACAGAAATGCCTCAAAGTATTGGAGTGAAAACTAGACTTTACAATATATGGACATTATAACTTTTTTTTCTGAGATACATGACCCAAAATATAGACTTCCCCTAGTTGATTAAAAAGAAGTATTGGGGCACCCGGGTGGCTCATCGGTTAAGTGTCTGCCTTCGGCTCAGATCATGATCCCAGCATTCCCCACATCATGCTCCCTGCTCAGCGGGGAGTCTGCTTCTCCCTTTCCCTCTGAGCTCTCCCTGCTCATTCTCTCACTCAAATAAATAAATAAAATCTTTTAAAAAGAAGAAGAAGAAGTTTTATGTGTGGGCGCCTCGGTGGCTCAGTTGGTTAGGCGTCTGCCATCTGCTTGGGTTGTGATCCTGGGGTCCTGGGATTGGGTCCCGCATCTGGCTTCCTGCTTAGTGGGGAGCCTGCTTCTCCCTCCTCTGCCCTGTCCCCCCATACCACTCATCTCCCCTCCCCCATCTCAAATAAGTAAAATCTTTTTTAAAAAAAGTATCTGTGATACCTGTGAGTTTACCAGTTGTCTTTTAACTTTGCCATGTTCTGAGTACAGCATGACATCATTGGCATCCTTATTGGAAATCATCTTTGTGTGAAATCTGACAGAATTGGCAGGGTAAACAGTAGCTTCAGGTGTATCAAGAAAATTATTTGTGCGCTTGGATTCTACTGTGTCATAGCCCCCAAGTTACAGTCATTGCTGTGAAGGTTAAGTGTAGGGTAAAGGAAGTGGTATTTGCATTTCATTCTTTTGTGAGGAAGTTTGGAGAGAGAGACTCCTGGCCTCATGGGTTTTAGAGAAAGCATTCAAGTTCTTCCTAGTTCTAGAGTCCTTGGTAACTTTAAGAACCGAAATTTTAATGTTTATTGAATAGTATGATGTCAGTGTATAGTAATTTTAAAGCTATGTTAAAATGTACTTCTTGTGTCTCCAAACATCCTGCCTTCTTTTGTGACTACATCCTTCTCTTGGCCAAAATAACAAGCTAACTAGAGTTTCAATATTCAATATCCTTCTCTGGCAGATGTTTTCTGGCAAAGGCCTTCCTGCGTTTATGAATTCTCTCTGAAGAAGCAAGAGAACACCTGCAGGAAGTGAATCAAGATGGAGAACACAGAGGAATAATCACCTGCTTTAAAAAAATAAAAGTACTGTTGAAAAAGATCATTTCTCTTTATTTGTTCCTAGGTGTAAAATTTTAATAGTTAATGCAAAATTCTGTAGTCATTGAATCATTAGTGGTTAATGTTTGAAAAAGCTCTTGCAATCAAGTATGTGATGTATTAATAATGCCTTATCTATTGTTTGTAGTCATTTTAAATAGCATGAGCCTTGTCCCTGTAGTCAGTAGGGGGCAGTCTTGCTTTATTCATCCTCCATCTCAAAATGAACTTGGAATTAAGTATTTTAGTGTAAGATATGTATAATGCTGGCCATTTTAAAGGGGTTTTCTCAAAAGTTAAAAGTTTTGTTTTGACTGCATTTCTGCACATAATCCATACTTGCTGTTAAAATTAACCTGGAAATTTATTCAGTTGTACTGTGAACACCTGGAAGCAAAATCATAGTGCAAAATACATTTAAGGTGTGGTCAAGAATTTGTTCTTAATTGGTAAATAATAAGCATTAATTTTTTATAGTCTGTATTCTAAATTTTGCAGTACCTTATTGTTCTGTGTTACGAATCTAAAAAGTTGTAAAGGCGTTGTCACTGTATAAAATAAAAAGTTCAAGGGCAAATGCAGCTTAATTACTAAAATGCAATTCTTGACATTTTCTGTGTGATTAGAGTCCCTATCCCCCCTTTTTTCCCCCTTTTTTCCCCCCTTTTTTGGGTGGGGGCTGGTCTCCTGATGATTAGGCCAAGGGCTGGAGTAGGGAGGGGAATAGGTACTTAGGAGCAAAGAAAGAATTAGTTTGGAACTTTTGAGATGATCCCTAACATACCGTAGTACTACTTGCTTTTACTATGTGTTAGCAGAAACCGATGAGTTATAAACGTAGAATGATGTGCTTTCTGCCAAGTGGTAATTCACCTTGGTTTGCTATGTTAAAACTGTAAATACAACAGAACATTAATAAACGTCTCTTGTGTAGCAACTTTTGCTGTAGATTAGTGTTTAATTTCTTGGTTTGCATTTGTTCATTGCCAAGGCAATTTTTTCTAATCTTTATTCATACAGATTCATGCAGAATTATTCACTAAATACAAAAAAATTGGTTTGGGCCAATTTTTTTTTTCTTCTTTAGCACAAGAAGTTCCCTTCTCTTATATTCAATATGTTCCTGAAGATGTATGTGAAAATTAGTTCTGCAAAACATAATGTACTAAATGGGGAGGAGTTGTAGAGATCTTAAATTATTCCAGAATTCCTAATCATGCTTCATTTTTCAGACATAATCTTAGATAATTTATTTCCAGTATTTTCTGCATGTTCCTTGCCTTTGCTCTTTTTCTCATTCCAACACAGTCCCCCGGTTTAAGTCCTTTGAGCACCCTTTGAGGTGAAAGATTATTCATTCCTCCAGATTTCTATTCCTGTCCCAGTTGTGTTAAAGACCAGTGGTTCCTATAATGTCAGCCGTTTGATTTTTCTTTCTTACCTTCTCCACTTAAAGCAGTAAGATTGTCAAATAACTACACAAACCAGCACCAGTGAGGTATGATTGCTGCAAATGTTGCTTATCTGCTGCATGTTAAGTATCTGGAATCAGCTTAGGAAGTCTCTTTAGGGGTGTCAGTATGTAATGCACAGAAGTATATAGGTTGTTTGAAAGCCAGGTAGGAAAACTGAGGGCCTCCTGGATGGACGTTTCAATGATCATTCTAACTTATTATAACTAATAGTATATGTTCTTGTTCATATTTCAGGTTATATTTTGCAGTTAGGTAAACAGGGGGTTTTAATGAAAGTCTCTGAAGACTTTTAAATTTTGAATTAGATTATGCCAGCAATAGAGTTTGGAAAATTTTATAGCCTATTGTGTTCTAAAGTTTCAGAATGAATATATCTCTAACAGTCTGAATAAATTTGGGCAGTGCAACAGAGAGAACTATTTAAACTATCTTACAGGACAGAATAGAAGGGCCCTAAATCACATAAACTGAAACATTTTAAACTCACTTTGGGTTTATTATTTAGGTCCTTGTGCCTTATTTGGTTTTGTATATTCAGAGAACTGAAATATTTGGAATTCCTATTTCTACATATTTGGTGGTCCTTAAGACTTTCTCACATGTAAACCTACAGTGTGACATGCTTTCAAAGTACTTAGAAGGGTGATTTCTCTTTTTCCTTTTAAATGTTCTACATACTAAAGTCTTTTCAGACATGTAAAGTTGATACCATTTGTTAACTATTAGGATGGAAATATTTATACTGTACTGTTACTTTTCATTTTTGTCTGTCATTTTCTGTTTCCCTTTGGTAGATTCATAAGTAAGAATGATAGTTTATTTGAAAGGGTATGTTGAGGAACCACTATTACTTCCCTGAAGTTAAGGAATAAACTGGCCTTGATCCTGAGCAAAGGGACAACTAGGGCTTATCCAGGACCACAGAGGTCCCTCACACCTCTTACCTGTTCATTTGGAATTATACAAACTATGTTTAAAGGATTCTGTGTAGCAGTTTCTTTTTTCAGAAAATTAGATTGTGTGGGAATAAAAGGTTATTAAAATTTACTTGTTAAAAAATTGTAAGAGTGAACACCTTTACTAATGGGATCAATTTTGTTTAGGCTTTTAAAGCAACAAGATTTTTAATGAAGTAAATGTAAGTTATCTGACTTGGGCTGTGGCCCACCATGAGCCATTGGCAGCACATAGGAAATGTCTTTTGACCTTCACTATTTTCTTAAACTAGAATATATCCCACAGCTATAAATGGTTTAAAGGAAGATATAATTACTGAAAGGGAGTTCCAGGGCCAATAAAAGTGATAATTCACTTTAAGTAGCTGCTGAGGTGGCAAGAAGATTCTGAGGTCAGAATCAACAAAAACAGAGTGTTCTTTAGTTTTGAATCCAACCCTACCACCTCTTCCCTGTGTCCAACCTTGAAGGTTAACATGGTAGATACCAGAGAAGCACTTGGCCCTGATTCCATTAAATACCGATAATCGAATTTTAACTTCAAACCTGCCAAGGCTAGACACAGACCTATACATTTACGTAAAGTATGTGGGAGTATTTTCTGAACAAGGAGCTGGGGCCCTTGTGCCCTACGTTGAATCTGGTTCTTGGTGAAATCTCAATGATGAACACAGGTAAGTTGTATGTGACATGTAGTTTAATAATTTTCAGCATCTGCTGTTTTTCAGCTGTTTAGATTTTCACCTTTTTAGGTTTTAAGAGATGATGAGAGGTGTAACAAAATGCAAAGAAGCTTCTGTAAATAGTTTGTGCATTTTTAAAATTTTGTGCATTTTTAATGCCAATACTATTTGTAGTCTGTATGGTATTTAAAGTGGATTGAGTGAGAGTTTGTTAAACCATACTGAAGTGCTCTCGGTTTAACTCTTCCTTTTGCATATAGCTATGTACCTTTGCATATGTGTATGGTTGTAGTCATTTAGAGCACCCACAGAGTGAAAAAGTGCTTTTGGCAGATAGCCTCTTAATAAAAAATGGGTTATTGATTAACATAACAATAAAAATTATTTAAATCAAAAAAAATAAAAAACGATCAAAAACTAATGATGTATGGTGGTTAACATAACAATAAAAAATTATTAAAAAATAAAAATAAAAATAAAAAACGGGTTTTGGTGGGCTGTGCTACTAAAGTGGAGAACAACTCCCAGAAATACACCAGGAACTCCCGAACGGGGAGTAAAAGGTTTTCAGGAGGAAACTGATTTTGTATCCTCTTTATTCTAAAAAGAGGCTATCTGATAACCCAGTTCATTGTCTCACCTGCAACTTGGTGCCCTATACAAAGACCTGCTCTTACGGGAAATCTGTGAATTGAGAGCTGTCCTCCTGAGGATAGTTTCCCTAGCTATAAATTTGAAATACCATCTAACGCATGGCATTTTAATCCCCTCAGACCCTCCAGTTATTCTCAGAATTTGAAACTTCTAGAATGTATTACAAGTTTTTGTTTAATACCTGTTTCTACCAAAAAGCATTGTTTGCTGATTTTTGAGAGTTTTAACTCTTAAGCTCAATTGGTGAATTAGATATAAACTTAAATGCAAATCTATTAAATCACTATAGAATATATGAAGCATAGAGAATTCTCTTGGATTTTGCAGGATTTTATCCAGGTCAGAAACTGAGATGCAGTTGTATAAAATAGACCTCTCCCAATCCTGCTTTGTATGTTGTCCATCGTACTCTAAAAGTGATTCGTTTTTACTATTTATATTGGAAATGAAATGTTTCACAAACTTTTGCCCATCCATATGTGATTGTGGGTTTACAGACAACAAAAGTAAGAAAAGTGGTCCTTTAAATCTTAACAAAGATGAGTGCTAGGCTCTGAGAAGACAGTATTTATTGTTATTCATTGGGAGGTTCAAGCGTGGTATTGGTATATGCAGCCTGGGAAGGAAGAAAATGGGTCAAAAACCTAAAAGGAATCTCAAATAGAAAAGGTCATTTCCTGATACTTTGTATCAGCTAAACGATACAGCTAGGGAAGTGCTGCCTTCTGACCATGAAACAGCCTGAGGCTTCTGAAATTCATCCAGAGCTGCAGTGATTTTCCACCTTGCACAGTCAGGGTTTGCGTTCATGTCCCCTACTGAGAGCTGCTTCCCCCATTTAAGCCAGTTACTTCCTGAGCCAAGTGGAGGATTGGAACAACCTATTATCATAACTTGGCTAGAGTTAATGCTTGGTGAAACATCCTTCTTTTCTTTAGCACAACAGTCAGAAATGCCTAAAATGCCCCCTTATGTGAGGTTTTAGAAAGAATTATGCCCTCTGCTTCCTGATTTCACATCTTTATTTTGATGGGACATTTCATAGGCTGTGTTTGGCAGTCGCTGGGTTTAGACGTCATTCTGGTCATTTGGGCACGTTCATTTCTTCTCTGAGTATCAACCTTAAGGATTTTTATATCGATATATTTCTAGTTCATATTTTAACTGGATTTGCAGATAATAAATTAGTAAGGGAGCCACTTGGTTTGTTAGATCATTATTTTCATGAACCCTTTCATTGCTAGCATCATTTGGTACTATGTAGTGTTTTTTTTTTTTTAAGATTTTATTCATTTATTTGAGAGAATGAGATAGCATGAGAGGGGGGAGGTTCAGGGGGAGAAGCAGACTCCCCGCTGAGCGGGGAGCCCAATGCGGGACTCGATCCCAGGACTCCAGGATCATGACCTGAGCCGAAGGCAGTCGCTCAACCAACTGAGCCACCCAGGTGCCCAGGTACTATGTAGTTTTTAAAAAATGGAGACTGGTGGCCTAAAGAAGCAAAATTAGTCCATGTTTTTCTAGGTTTGACTCAGTGACTCTCAAATTCTGGATCTGTGTGTCCATCATCATGTATATAAGAAAAACCTTTGGGGGGTTGTTATATATGTTATATGTGTTTTCCCTGAGACTATATGTGTGAAATTGGGTTAAATCTGTGATTTAGCAGTTCACTAGATTTAGTATTGAAACAAAACCTTGTTTTTCTATGGGTGCCTGGGTGGCTCAGTTGGTTAAGTGTCTGCCTTTGGCTCAGGTCAGGAACCCAGGATCCCCGGGTCCTGGGATCAAGCCCCACTTCGGGCTCCCTGCTCAGCGGGGAGCCTGCTTTTCCCTGCCCACCCCCACTCGTGCTCGAAGAAAAAAAAACGTTTTTCTAACGTCCATCCTGTAGAATTATAAATAGTCAGACTTGGTTTCTGTAGCAGTTCCACAGAGCTTCTAAATAAGGATAGTATGTAAGAACTTGTCTCAAGTCTTGACTTTCCACAGAAGGTTGGATAGAAGAAATTTGTAGAGTTGTATACCTACACTTAAGAGGTAATTTTTTTCATTAGAATATTTTCAGGGCATTGTTTGCTGGGTAAAATTAATTATTTTGTCTTCAAAATACGTCTGTAGGTCTTCTCAAAGGTCATGACTACAATACTTCCTTTTTATAGCAGGACTATGG